GGGCCAGTCACACTTCTCTGAAGTCTCTCAGCCCCACTCACCTCACAGAGTGTTTGTTGTGGGGGAGGAAGGGAAAGGAGAATGTTAGCCGCTTTGAGACTCCCAAGGGTAGTGATAAAGCGGGATATCAAATCCAAACTACTACTCTTCTTCTTCTTCTTCTTCTTCTTCTTCTTCTTCTTCTTCTTCTTCTTCTATGTTCTAGTATTTAGAGAGAAGGAAAAGCACTTCTCTCTGTTCTCTACACAAACATTTCACCTTTTCTTTCTTTTTTATTTGGTCGATCAATTTCTGCACTTATTCTGCACTATTTCCAGCATCTATTACAATATCTTTTTTTGTGATAGAGTGACCAGAACTAAACATAATTTTCCAAGACCGCTTGTATCATAGATTTGAGTAAAAATATTATTTTCATTTTTATTTTCGGTTTCTTTCTTAATGATCCCTGACATGGAACGTGCATTTTTCATTACATCTCTAACTGGACCAATATTTTCATTGAGCTATCCATGTTGATTCCAATATATTTCTCCTGGTTAGTTACTGCCAGTTTGGATCCCATCAGTTTCTATGTGATGTTAGGGGTTTTGTATGCCTCAGTGTGCTATGCATTAGCTATTTAAATGCCCATTTACCCAGTTTGGAGAGATCTTTATAGATGTCTTTGCTATCCCTTTGGCTTTATAAAACCTTGAAGCTAAACTTGGGCACCTCACTACTCACTCGCTTCTCCAGATCATTTATGACCAAGTTAAAAAGCACAGATGCTTAGACTCCCTTTTTTACACCCTTCCATTGGGAATCTATTTATTGCTGCTCCTCTCTCTTTTTATAACTGGCTACTGATCTATAAGAGGACCTGTCTTTTTATCCCATGACTTATAGCCTTTTCATATTATTTTATCATTTAAATTTTTATTAAGAATATTACAATGAGTTAAAGTAAGAAAGCAAAAGAAAGAAAACAACATTTTAAAAGGCAGAGGAGACCAACAATAACAATATGACAATAAAGATAATTAAGATTACAGAACTATATAAAACATATGTAAATAGAATAACTTATTTCCCCCCTCAAATATACATTGATTTGTGTGTCTCTATGATTTCGATAAAGGGATGCGGGTGGCACTGTGGGTGAAACCACAGAGCCTAGGACTTGCCGATCAGAAGGTCGGCAGTTCGAATCCCCGCGACGGGGCAAGCTCCCGTTGCTCAGTCCCTGCTCCTGCCAACCTAGCAGTTTGAAAGCACCTCAAAGTGAAAGTAGATCAGTAGGTACCACTCCAGCGGGAAGGTAAATGGCGTTTCTGTGCGCTGCTCTGGTTCGCCAGAAGCGGCTTAGTCATGCTGGCCACATGACCCGGAAGCTGTACGCCGGCTCCCTCGGCCAATAAAGCGAGATGAGCGCCGCAACCCCAGAGTCGGCCACAACTGGACCTAATGGCCGGGGTCCCTTTACCTTTTTATGATTTCAATAAATACGTTCCAAGCACTGTTAAATTTGTCCATACATCTTTCGTCAGAAAGCTATTCCTTCATGAGTTTGAAGAGTTGTCATGTCATCTATCCATTGATCGAAAGAGACCATATTTTTGTCCTTCCAATGTATCAATATCAATATTTTCACACATATATCAGGGCACAGACTTCTAGCCTTCATTGAAGAAGAACACAGGCGTTGCTGGCAGGGATGTTGGCACCTGTGGGTGTCATGTTGCAATTCATACTCTAGAGGACTCTAGATGGTTGTGAAGCATATTGCTTTAATTTAATGCAATTGGTAATATTAGGGCTTAACCACACTTAGGTCTCTGCAGGGGCTTAGGAAGGGGGGTCAGTGGGGTCAGTTCACCCTGGGTGTCATCCCTGAGGGGGGTGACAAAATCCGATCGCCACCGCAGTGAATGGCACCGCCCAGCACAATTGCCACCATGCCGGAACACACACCCCGGGCGTGATCGCCCCACCCCTGGGTGCACGGCATGTGTGCGGATCTGGGTGCCGGAGCAGTTAGCTCCGCCACTGGGTCTCTGCTGCTCTTTCCAGGCATGATTCACGCTGTGTCTGCGTTGGAGATCGGCCTTGCTTTATAAAGAGAGCAGAACAGAAACAGAAGTACTGTATATGCTTGAGAAGAGCTCCAGCAAGACATATAGCAGGTTCAGAATATATTATCTGCCTCATTTAAAAGTAACACATGGCTTACAGAATTACTTTCATGATTTGACATCCAGCCCCTTACTAAAAGCATTATTGGTGTTAAGATTATGCCTTCTCAATAAGTTGAATCCATTATCATAAAATTAGAAGAAAACAATTCTGCATTTGTATTTGCATTTGTTGAGCTCATGCTGTAGAATACATTTGCCATCACTTGTTCTATTGCTCTGTTTGCTCTGAACCTGGGAAAATCCCAGTGAGGACCCTTGGGATGAGAGATGAACTCTGCCACCGAATCACAAAGCCACCTGACTGGTGTGAACTATGCATTACAAGCGAAACATGTAACAGCCCCCAAACTTTGCTTTTTTAAAAAGCAAGAATTACTGAAGGAATTGTTGAAGGAATTGTCCCACTATATTTAAGAAAGTTTCCCTTGTAACATAGAGCTAAGTGGTGTAATAAATGCACAATATACATGTGAAGTAGTAGCCCAGAGGGGAGTAATAATAATAACAATAGGTGTAACAACAACAACAACAACAACAACAAACAACAGCCACAATCAGCTAAAGCAGCTTTCTGCAATCCAGTGGACTCCAGATGTTTTGGACTGTAACTCTCATCTGTAACTCTCATCTGCCCCTGCCTCTTGGTCAAGGATGGTGAGGGTGTATAGTCCCAAACAACAGGAGGCTATGAGTTTGAATAAGACATCGCTAAATATCACTAAAGCTGATAGCTAAATCAAATCAACAGGGCTTATGTTAGCTTCCACTAACTTGTCCAGTGGAACTTAAGCATGATTGACTTACAGCTGGACTGGCACCTAGACCCAAGAGTCACCCTGAAGTCATAAGAACAGCCTTTTGGATCATCTCCTCCGGCATCCTGTTCTCCCAATTGCCAGTCAGCTGCTTTTTGGAAGCCTGAAGCAAAACACAGAGAAAATACGTTTGTCTCATCAAGAGTGTAAGAATACTACAGTGTTACCACTACCAAGAACAATAATTTTCTTATGTACGTCCATTTCAGTCTCTCCCTTTCCTTTATTCTTGGCAGAATCAATTTATATATTTTGATGCAATCTTTTCCTCTTCCAGACATCTATCAAATGAGGGTGCATGGGCTAAATTAATTTGTCCATTAGTAATATAACTAAAACCATCACCTCTCTCTCATAACCCTAAACAGTCAACAGATGGTACAATTCTTAGCTGCTAATTACTTGGCCTGATATGAATTGGTGACCTGGAGGTCAGAGACAGATATCCCTTTCCCATTTCCCTGTAGTCATTTAATCCTGCACTTATTCATTTTCAGCAGTAAAGAGAAAAATTAGGGGGAAAAGCTAAAATGTAAAAAAAGAGAGAGAGAGAGAGAGAGAGAATCGAGTAAGGAATTAACAGTGTTGGGGGAAATGGTGTGTTGTTTTGCCTTAACATAAAAAGAGCCCTGCCGGATCGGACCAATGGCCTATTCCTCACAATGGCCAGCCTATTTAATCTAGCATCCTTTTTACCAAAGTAGTCAATCAGTTGCCTATGGGAAATCCACAAGCAGAACCTGAGCACATGGGCATTCTGCCGCTGATTTTGGAGGTGGTACAAAGCCAGCAAGATTAGTAGACATTGATAACCTTTTCTACCGTGGATTTGTCTAATCCTTATACCATTTGACACTCATGCTTTGACACGGCCTGAAAGGCAGTGCCTTACGCTTCAAGGGCTCCATCTTGGCTGTAGTACCTAAACCTGTCAGCTCTTGCCAAGGGCCAATCCCAACACACCAAACCTTATAAAGGCCCCGTCTCAGAGCTAATGCCTTAGTATAAGCAACTTGTCACTGGTGTGAATGCTCTTTTTGTGGGATAACCAGCCTCACATAACCAACATGCTTATGTCTAATTAATGCATGAAGGGGTTAATGCAATAGAGTAAGATTTCACTCTCTCTCACCTTGAGAGAAAGGTAATCAGGCCTATTGTTGTCCCTCAGTCTACCTGAGAAGCTTAATGTGTGAGGTCTGAGACTACATGCTCAGCTCAGACCACATGGCTCTAACAAGCCTCTCTTGAGCTCCTATAACAATAATTTAGGAACTTTCACCACTTTGGAACTAAACCAAGTTTTACTGCCTATTCAACCTTTTCTGAATGCTGTATGGAAAAGCATATGAATCTGACCTTTGGAGAGTTTGAAAGTAAACCATTTTTAACTTACTAAATGTGTGGTATTCTTTTTATGTTAGGGGAAGTGGGAAACTTCGGAAAGGAACAAGGAAGGGCATATTTTAAAGGTCTAAAAGCTTATATTTCCACACTTTACTTTGATGATTATTTTGTGATTTTAAATCTCTGTTGGGGTTCTCTCACCAAAGAATATTTGCACCAAACTTGGATCTTGGCATCCAGGAATCCTCATTTTTTAATACTCATTTCTTCATTGCCCACCAACACCTTCTCCCTGAGTTTATAACTGACTTCATACCACCGTTTCCATATGTATTCCAGCCAAGGATATTTGAGATGAATTAGAAGCTGTACAGAAAAAGAACTTTCTCATCTGAAGCTGCAACATCTGAGAAGGTCTGCCAACCAGCAATGACATGGCTAACCATTTGAGCATTACTATCCTGACAACGATTGGGTATGGAATGCCCAAACAGCATGCCCCACCTGTTTGGGTCAGATATTCACAGACATACTGTAGCCATGTGGAATCACACAACAGATAAAGGAACTCCCACATTGCTGCAGGTGCATGTGAAGTGGTAGCAGGAGGTTCCTGAGGAAATGTGTGAAGGTGTTTGGTCAATGTATTGAGTCCTATATTTGAGGCATCTGATCAAAATCTGCTTTGAGCTTAAAAAATTATATTTGTAAATATATTTTTCTCTGCAAGGGAGAAGAGCAGCTGAATACTCCGGCAGCTGTTCAAGGGGCCCCACTGCTATAAATAAAAGTATTTCAAGGTTGTAAAAGGAAATTAGAGCCAGAGAGCAAAAGGTCACACTGACCAGAATACAATCAAGCTGTAAAAACACAATTAAGAACTGGTAAATAGTGAAATTTATTGTTTAACAGAAGACTCGAGCCATAAGGTTAAAGGTTAAATGGAAGAGGTTGCTCTTAGAAACAGCTGCTGGTTAGGGAAAAGGCCTCTCTCCAAACTGTTTTGAAGCTTCAGAGAATTTACTAAGTTCCTTCTAATTTGAAAAGGCCTTTCCTTCTAAAAATCTATCTATGTTATGTATGAAATATATTGGCTTAAATGTGATTATGCAAAGGATTTAGAAAGTAAGAAATGTTAGATTCTTATGTTAGATTCCTATTATGGTGGGTGAGAAGGTGAACTCAAGATCTCTTTAAGATAAAAAAATTAGAAACCATGCACCATCTGCTTTAGCCATCTGGTTTGCGGTGAATAGGGCAACAGGGGCCAAAGGTTATCTGGTAATTGAGGTGCCTGGTCGAGGTAAATGTAAGATATATGGCTACTTGTCTGCCATTTATGGATACAAGGAAATATAGCTTTTTGTCTCCCATAAAAGGGAATAGGAAATGGGTGTATCTTTTATGATTGGTTCTAGCAAACAACCAATAGGAATTTCAACCAGGCTGATTGGACAGAGGCAGCCAAAGGAGGAGCAAGGGGGCTGGGCTGAGGAAATATAAGTGCTGGCCATCAGGGCTGGAGTAGGCAGAGCTTTGGTATCCATATACCACTGTGTCTCTCATTTATTTGTCTGACAAATAAATTATTATTTTAATTTCTCTATTGCTGCGTTGAATATTTCATTCCAGCTAAGCGTTAACCACAAGCAGGGTGCTACATTTTATGGTGCCTCTGTGACTCGGATAAGTGGTCTGCTGGAACGCAGCCCCTTCGCCCTAGCGGGCAGGGTACAAGAGGGAGGACCACTGACCGCTTACCCAGCGCGCACTGGAACATTTTTCCAGGGGAACGCAGAAGTCTCGTCTGTCTGATACCCTGCTCACTGGCGGCGACGGACCGGGGGTAACCAGAGAAATAAACAGGGAACCAGCTAAGGGTAAGTGCACAAAGGGGTTGTGGCCCTCCAATTAATTGGGAGGAAGAGAAGTCTTGATCAAACTTCTGCGTCTCAGTAAGGGGGAACTGAGTACGCTAGGTGGTTGGGTACATCAGATGGTGGTCTGGTGGAGGGAAAAGGGAAAGATTGGGAGGTAGAGTGTGGTGAAGTATCCAGCGCATTGTATGTGTGAGAAAGTACAATCTGTAGCTGACCTGAGTGTGGAGTGGGTAGTACTTCGGTTCCTAGTAAGGCGACTTCACTAGGCAAGGATCCCCACGAAGCGTGTGTGTGAGTGACTGAGTGGATACTTCACAGGGCCATACAATGGGAGTTGGAGGTTCAAGGGGGGAAAATACACCTCTTGAATGTATGTTAAATAATTTTAAGAAAGCCTTCTCAGGAGCATATGGAGTCAAAATGACGCCAGAGCGCTTGAGAACGTTATGTGAATTAGACTGGCCAAAACAAAATACTGGATGGCCACCTCAGGGAAGTTTTGATATAAATTTAGCAAGCAAACTTTGGTCTAACATCACCAAAGAAACTGGAGGGTGCCCAGAACAATTTTCATATATAGATTCTTGGCTGAGCACATTAAATAATAATCCTCCATGGATAAGGGAATGCAAAGTCCAACAATGCAAATTATTGGCTGTAAAAGCCGAAGCTAGGAAAGGAATCTTGCCAAATAAACTCAAACCCATTTTTGAGGGACCAGAGGAAGAGGTGCTTCCACCTCCACCCTATGCTCCACATCGAGGGGAGCCTAATCCAAACACTCCACCAGTTGTAACCCCAAGGCAAGAAAGTGGAAGGAATAATGGGGCTGGAGTCACAGAGCTTGATTCCTTGATAGATTATGATAAATATCTTCAGGAGGCATTGGAGTCCTATAATAAAGCCCAAGCAGAAGTGGTTATTCCACCTGTGAGTCCCAGTAGAACTCCATCTACAGTCTCCTTTAGTGGAACAACTGATTGCCCACCCCAAACCCCTGTACATCCAAGTCCTAGAGAACTATTACAGGAGTTACAGGGAGACTTTGATCGGTCAGTAAGCAATACAGCCAGGCGTATAAAGCTGTTAAAAGAACGCCTTGGGACAAATACTATCCCCTATGATTTGAGGCCCCTAAAGCAAAGCGAAGAGAAAGGTCACGTAGTAGCCCCTCTCAGAAGAGTATTTGATGCACTTGAGGAGCCTGTGCTGGTTAACGGGCAACTCGGACCACGGCCACCTCGAACTTCGACCCTCCAGTACATTCCATTTACAACTACGGATCTGATGAATTGGAAAACACACACCCCGTCTTTCGCAGAAAAACCTCAGGCTATGATGGACTTGGTGACTTCAATAGTAAATACTCATAGTCCTACTTGGACAGATTGCCGCCAGCTCCTGAATACTCTGTTCACCACTGAGGAAAGAAGAGACATAATTGAAAAGGCACAGATATATTTGCGTGAGCAGGCCAGAGTGGGAAATATTCTTAATGTTGACCGTCATCTCCAGGACAATTTTCCCTTGGAGGATCCTAATTGGGATCCAAACAATGCAATTCACCTGGCCAGGCTTACCACCTACCGCCAGACGCTTGTGCAAGGTATCCGCAGGGCATGCCAGAAGCCCACTAATATGACCAAAGTCTCAGAAGTAGAACAGAAACCGAATGAGAGTCCGGGAGACTTTTTAGAGAGGCTGCAGGAAGCCTATCGTATATGGACTCCTTTTGACCCTGAAGCCCCTGCAAACAGCAGAATGATTACTGCTACTTTTGTGGCTCAGTGCGCTTCTGACATTCGTAAGAAAATTCAGAAGTCAGAAGGCTGGGAAGGGATGCTGATGAGCCAAATTATGGCCATTGCACGCCGAGTTTATCGGAATAGGGATGAGGCTGAGAAACAAGAGAAGAAGAAGTGGCAGAAGGAAAAGATGGTGATGCTAGCCACAGCAGTGAAGCAAGACTACCGCCCTTTAAATGGAGGGAGAGGGCGGGGAAGGAATCCACCACTGGGAAGGAATCAATGTGCGAATTGCAAGAAGGAGGGTCATTGGAAGCGGGAGTGTCCTGAACCCCTGAGGTTGGAAGAAGTACGCCCAGGCCCAGGCCCAGGCTCCGGCCCAAGAAACCAGGGACGGGGACGGGGAATGATCCGAGATGGAAGATATCAGAGACCTGGACAAGGACGGAGTAGAGACAATTTCATTGGACTGGCAGAGGAGGATTTTACCCAAGACTAGGAACGACCGGACTCCATAAAGTTAGGCTTCCAGGAGCCCACGGTCAAAATTCAATTAGGGAGCCATTTAATAGACTTTATGATAGATACTGGCGCTGAATACTCAGTACTCCCAGAACTTTTGCAGAAAAAGGCATCCAAAAGTGTAGTCATTAAAAGTGCCACTGGTCAGTCAGCTAAGAGGTCTTTCCTCCAACCTTTAGAATGCCAGATTGGGGGACATCATTTAACCCATCAGTTTTTGTATATACCTGAGTGTCCAATGCCTCTCTTAGGTAGAGATATGCTGTCCAAATTGCAGGCCCAAATCACCTTCACTCCTCGAGGTCCAGAAATGAAACTGCCATCAAAGGCAGCAGGAATAATTCCCTCTCAGTACCTAAGGAACAATCATGGCGCCTAATGTCAGCCCTGCAAGTCCAACCCACATTGGATACAGAATTAAACAAGCTCCTCCGAACCCTACAAGTGCCACCAGGAGTATGGGCCGAAAATAGCCCACCAGGAATGGCTAAGAATATAGCTCCAATTGTAGTAACCCTAAAACCTATGGCTACCCCTGTATCTGTAAAGCAATATCCTTTACCCCGGCGAGCAGCAGAGGGCATCCAGAAACATTTGGACCGCCTATTAAAATATGGTCTGCTTAAGCCCTGCCAATCAGAATGGAACACACCCCTTTTGCCTGTTCGGAAGCCTGGGACAGATGAATACAGGCCAGTACAGGACTTGAGGCTCGTAAACCAGGCTATCGAGACCTTGCACCCAAATGTACCAAACCCATATACCTTGCTGAGTTTGATCCCACCAGAAGCAACATTTTTACTGTATTGGACTTGAAAGATGCATTCTTCTGTTGCCGGCTGGCACCACAGAGCCAACCTATATTTGCCTTCCAGTGGGAAGACCCTTTGACAGGAACAAAAGGCCAGCTAACCTGGACAAGATTGCCCCAGGGATTCAAAAATTCCCCAACTTTATTTGGCACTGCCTTGGCGAAGGATCTAACAAGTTACCCCTCAATACCTGGAAAAAAGGTGGTTCTGCAATATGTAGATGACCTTATACTAGCGGCAAAGGATTTTGATACCTGTAAAGAAGGGACAGAGGAACTGCTCCACTTGCTCTGGGAAGCTGGCTACCGAGTTTCCCAGAAAAAGGCACAGTTATGTTTAGAAAAGGTCAAATATTTGGGCTTTGACATCTCACACCAACAACGAGCATTGAGACCAGAGAGGAAAGAAGCTATTTGCCTTATCAAGGAACCTACCACAAGGAAACAACTCAGAGGATTCCTGGGAACAGCAGGGTTTTGTAGACTATGGATACCTGATTTCAGCAGTCTGGCCAAGCCCTTACATGAAAGCACTCGAGGTGCAGAAAAGGACCCATTCGTATGGGGACCTGAGCAGCAACAAGCCTTTTTAGCTATCAAACAACGACTTATGGAGGCCCCAGCCCTGGGACTGCCTAATTCGGAAAAACCCTTTCAGCTGTATGTACATGAACAGAATGGGATTGCAGCAGCAGTCCTGACCCAGAGATTAGGAAGTTGGAACCGTCCAGTAGCTTATTTGTCAAAACAATTGGACTCAGTAGCAAAAGGATGGCCTCCATGCCTAAGGGCAGTAGCGGCCACTGCAAGCCTTGTCAAAGAAGCTGATAAATTTACCTTTGGCCAGACGATGTATGTGAATGTACCTCATGCTGTTCTGACACTCATGGAATATAAGGGTAGTTATTGGCTAACGAATCCAAGGATGGCTAGATACCAAGGCCTATTGTGTGAAAATCCCAGGATTCATCTACGAGTAGTGAATATGCTCAATCCAGCAACTTTGCTGCCCCTACCAGAGGTAGATGATGAAGAATCACATGATTGTCTCCAAATAATGGATGAAGTGTATTCCAGTAGACCCGATCTGAAAGATGAACCATTGAAAAATCCAGATGTTGTATATTATACTGATGGTAGCAGTTACCTGCATGAAGGTGCCAGACGAGCAGGATATGCTGTGGTCACCAATGAGGAAGTTGTGGAAGCTGAAGCTTTGCCTGCTGGCACCTCAGCACAAAAGGCTGAACTTATAGGTTTAACTAGAGCTCTGCAATTGGCAGCCGGATGTAAGGCAAACATCTATACTGATTCTAAATATGCCTTCTTAACCCTGCATGCACATGGAGCTCTATGGAAAGAAAGAGGTCTAATCGGAGCCCATGGGAAGGCCTTGAAATATGGACCTGAAGTAGAAATCCTGTTGGAAGCAGTATGGGCTCCAGAACAGATTGCTGTAATGCACTGCAAAGGTCATGGACGTGGAAGGGATCCAATAACCAGAGGAAATCATGCTGCTGACAAAGCAGCCCGAGAGGCAGCCCAGAAGCCTGTGGGAGGATTTATAGCAGCCCTCATACCAGAGGTAGTTCCAGAAGAAATTAAACCTCACTATACCCCAGAAGAGAGGAAGTGGGCTGAACAGGAAGGAGCGGTTGTGAAGGACGGTTGGATGATCCTGCCGGACAATAGGATTTATGTACCTCATCACCTAGCAGGCACAATTGTAAGAAATTATCATGAATCTACTCACCTTGGCGGTACTGCAACCAGAGAGAGTCTCAGTCGGAAGTTGTATATTATTAACCTATCACAATTAGCAACTTGCATTTCACAGAAATGTGTTCTTTGTGCTAAAAACAATCCCAGGCAGGGACCGGTACAACCTCCTGGAATCCAACATGTGGGATACGTCCCCATGGAAAGCCTAATTGTGGACTTCACAGAGCTGGTCCCTTCTAAGGGATTCAAGTACCTCCTTGTGTTTGTAGATACCCTTACCGGATGGGTTGAAGCTTTTCCCACCAGGACTGAAAAGGCACGAGAGGTAACTAAGAGACTCCTCACTGAATTGATCCCGAGGTTTGGATTACCTAGATGCATTGGAAGTGATAATGGGCCAGCGTTCATTGATCAAGTAGTACAAGAAGTATGTCGAGTCCTACAAGTGAAATGGAGACTGCATGCAGCATATAGGCCTCAAAGTTCGGGAAAACTGAAAGAATGAATCGGACTCTGAAAACCCAATTGGCAAAATTAACCCAGGAAACAGGATTGGGATGGGTAGATGTGTTACCCATAACACTGTTTCGTGTTCGGTGTGCACCCACAAAAAGACTTAAGTTGTCACCTTTTGAGCTCCTGTATGGGAGGCCACCCTCCTTTGTTCAGGATATTCCAGCTGACCTCAAACAAATAGGAGACCATGTGACACAGGGACAAGTGCAATCTCTCTCCCGTGTTTTTGTTTCTCTTAACAGGTGGGCCCTCGAGCGCACGCCGTGCAGCATTGCCGAGCCGATTCATCAGTTCCAGGCTGGCGATAGCGTATGGGTGAAAGAGTGGAAACGTGATCCACTTGCACCTAAGTGGCGTGGGCCTTACACCGTCTTGCTCTCTACTCCAACAGCGGTGAAGGTAGCTGAGGTGACCCCTGGATTCATCACTCCCGTTTGAAGAAGTCCGAAGGCAGTTGGACGTGCAAAGGTGACCCCTCTAATCCTTTTAAACTGACTCTCTCCAAAAACCCCTGTATCTAGCCCTACGGGGACGGGCTAGGTCACGGGCAACATTAGACGACTGGCCTGCTGCAGCCACAACCTGGAAGCTGGCTGACCTGCGCACGCCTGAAGCTTGAGGAGCGTCTGAACCAGCGATTGTGAACAGGAAGATTCTCTTATACAATTGATTGACTGCCCCCCCCCTGTGGAACAATTATCAGGGATATTACTCATTGGGGATCCTCGGGATATATGTTTTGGTCTTGGTGGTTCCCCATTTCTGTCATTGGGGAATTATATTGGGCCTAATATTTTTTGTTATCACAATAAGGTAATCTTTTGTGGAAGAAATGCATATACTAGACATCAACATGATTTTATTATTAATCCTGATCCCTTGGGAAGGGGAAGGGTCCTTGAATCTGACCAAATTTGCTAAATATGGATTCCGCCATGACCACAATATGTGGGTAGGCTTAGCTGAGATGGTAGCCAATGTTACAAATAGGACCAATTGCCTTGTTTGCTCTCTTGGACCAGATGATTCAGAGGGAGGTATGCCCTTATTACCGATACCATTAAATGCCATTGGTATGGTAAGCGAAATGCCACACCAAACAGAAGTACAGAATTTCCCGGATGGAACTCAACTAAACCAATACGAGTTATACCTGTGCAAGGGGAATTCTGTGTACATAAATTATCAGCTGCAGCTGATTCTATTATGATAGGCTCTTCTCATTGCCACTATACTTGGGATTATATTAAGAATAGTCAAACCTGGGCAAACGGTACTACCTATCGAACTCGGAATACCTTGCCCTGTGCACCTCCTTTTATTCATGCATGGAAACTGGTGTGGAACATAACTGTGACAGAAAAAGGCAATCTAACATACTGCACTGTGAACTCTATGCCCCTTTTGATATTTCGCCTTATGCACTCCACGTACCAAAACCTCAGACCCGATGGTTGTGGTGGATATGTGGAGAATGGGCATACAAGCAACTCCCTCCCAAATGGAGTGGGACTTGTTTCCTGGGATGGGTATTACCACCAATGTGGATTATGCCCACTAGTTCGGCAAAGCGTACACGAAGAAACGCTGATATTTCTCATATAGCAGGAGGAAGTACCCAAAGTTGGAGTGATACTGATGATTGGCCACCAGAGCGCATTATAGCCTATTATGAGCCTGCCTCCTGGAATCCTGATGAGCTCATACAAGGGGCACGGGATCCTATTTATAATCTAAACAGAATAATTCGATTGCAAGCAGTAGTGGAACTTGTAACCAATGCAACGGCCCAGAGTTTGAGACTTATTGCACAACAGTTGGATGAAAGTAGAGCCGCCATTTTGCAGCTGAAAATGGGAATGGATTATGTACTTGCCAGGCAGGGAGGCCTATGTGGAGTCTTGAACTTGACAGGGAATGCCTGTTGCTTTAACATTTCTGATAATGGTGAGGCAATCCGTGTGTTGGCCACAAAGATGGAGAGTATAGCACATGTCCCAGTACAAATATGGGAAGGATGGGATATGGGATGGCTCACCAATTGGTTACCTAATGTTGCGGGACTCAAAGGGATACTATTGTCTTGCTTGTTTTTCTTGACGGTAGTAGTAATGGTTTTATGTACGGTGCCATGTATCATTTCATGTTTTAGAAGTACAATTAGCAAGATGATTTCAAATGAAACTTTACCTCATATTATGGCCCTATACAGAGCTTTACCTCAGGAATATGACGAAGGTCAAGCTATCAAGGACACTTGGGATGAAGGTCCTTGAGCTTGAAAGGGGGGAATGAGGCATCTGATCAAAATCTGCTTTGAGCTTAAAAAATTATATTTGTAAATATATTTTTCTCTGCAAGGGAGAAGAGCAGCTGAATACTCCGGCAGCTGTTCAAGGGGCCCCACTGCTATAAATAAAAGTATTTCAAGGTTGTAAAAGGAAATTAGAGCCAGAGAGCAAAAGGTCACACTGACCAGAATACAATCAAGCTGTAAAAACACAATTAAGAACTGGTAAATAGTGAAATTTATTGTTTAACAGAAGACTCGAGCCATAAGGTTAAAGGTTAAATGGAAGAGGTTGCTCTTAGAAACAGCTGCTGGTTAGGTAAAAGGCCTCTCTCCAAACTGTTTTGAAGCTTCAGAGAATTTACTAAGTTCCTTCTAATTTGAAAAGGCCTTTCCTTCTAAAAATCTATCTATGTTATGTATGAAATATATTGGCTTAAATGTGATTATGCAAAGGATTTAGAAAGTAAGAAATGTTAGATTCTTATGTTAGATTCCTATTATGGTGGGTGAGAAGGTGAACTCAAGATCTCTTTAAGATAAAAAAATTAGAAACCATGCACCATCTGCTTTAGCCATCTGGTTTGCGGTGAATAGGGCAACAGGGGCCAAAGGTTATCTGGTAATTGAGGTGCCTGGTCGAGGTAAATGTAAGATATATGGCTACTTGTCTGCCATTTATGGATACAAGGAAATATAGCTTTTTGTCTCCCATAAAAGGGAATAGGAAATGGGTGTATCTTTTATGATTGGTTCTAGCAAACAACCAATAGGAATTTCAACCAGGCTGATTGGACAGAGGCAGCCAAAGGAGGAGCAAGGGGCTGGGCTGAGGAAATATAAGTGCTGGCCATCAGGGCTGGAGTAGGCAGAGCTTTGGTATCCATATACCACTGTGTCTCTCATTTATTTGTCTGACAAATAAATTATTATTTTAATTTCTCTATTGCTGCGTTGAATATTTCATTCCAGCTAAGCGTTAACCACAAGCAGGGTGCTACATATTGGGCGGTGGGGGGGAATACTATGAAAATGTATGGAGTGTCAAAATTGCTGTGTCAGTACCTTATTGCTCGCTATCCTCCCAAGTCTGAAAAGAAAACAACATGAATAGTGCTAAGACACTAATTAAATCTGTTTTCCAATTATGTTAATGAAACTACAAAGAAAATGCAAATCTAGAAGTCTCCAGAAATCCTAGCCATTTTTTCTTTTTGGTATAGAACTCTATTTGATAGTCCCTCAGTAACGCCTCCCCTTGAAAGTATATTCTAAATGGTCACAAATGTGCATTTAATTCTTCTCTTTGATCTCATAAGTGTTGAGGGAAAAGAAAGGGTTTGGGGGGGAGGGGATGTGCATTTTGAATAATGCATTCAGGGATTTCAGAGATTCCAGTGGAATGCCCCTGTTTGAGTTAGAAAATTACAGCTAATAAAAAAAGAATCTGTTCGTATTTGTTGCGCTGGTATCATATTCAAAGCCAGTGGGCAAAGTGTGTCTTCATTTTAAGAGATAAGATACACATGTAAGTATTGCTATTTCAACCCACTAGAAGTC